ATCAAAAATTAGCCGGGCGTGGTAGCGCGCACCTGTAGTTTCGGCTACTTGGAAGGCTGAAGCGGAAGGATCGCCGGAGCCCAGCAGGTTGAGGCTGCGGTGGCCGCTCCCAGCCACCGCTCTCCAGTCTGGGTGACAGAGTGAGACTCCAACTCAAAAAAAAAAGAAAAAGAAAATAATAATTTCATTCCTGTGTAACAGCTTAAGAAAGGGCCTAAAGCATATAAAGGCAAGCAGACGAAAGGAACTGCTTTGAGCTTTAATCAAGTAGAAGTAAATTAAAATATGAGACCATGAAAGAAGAAAAGTAAAATAGCCTAGAGCTCCCTAGGAAAGGATTTATGAGTAAAAGATTAGCCGGGCATGGTGGCTCAACCCTGTAATCCCAGCACTTTGGGAGGTCAAGGAGAGAGGATTGCCTGAGTCCGCAGGTTCAAGACCAGCCTGGGTAGCATGGTGAGACCTCATCTCTACAATTAATCAAAAAATTAGCCTGGCATGGTAGTGCACACCTGTAGTTCTAGCTACTTGGAAGGCTGAGGAGGAAGGATCGCCGGAACCCAGCAGGTCGATGCTGAGGTGGCCGTGAGCATGCCACTGCACTCCAGCCTGGGCGATGGAGTGAGACTCCAACTCAAAAAAAAAAAAGGAAAAGGAAAAGATTAGGAGCTTGGCCTTGATCTCTGGGTCATGGGAAGCCTTCAAATGTGTGTGTGTGTGTGTGTATGCAGAGATTGTGAGAGAAAAACTGGCTGAAGAAAAGGTAGAATAGAAAGGAAAAGTGAAGATGTAAAAATTATATAGGAGCCGGGCTCGGTGGCTCAGCCTGTAATCCCAGCGCTTTGGGAGGCTGAGGTGAGTGGATTCCTGAGTCCGCAGTTTCGAGACCCACCTAGGCAACTTGGCGAGACCTCATCTCTGTAATAAATCAAAAAAATTATCCAGGCGTGGTAGCGCGCACCTGTAGTTCCAGCTACTTGGAAGGCTGAGGCGGAAGGATAGCCGGAACCCAGCAGGTTGAGGCTGCGGTGCCTGGGAACGGCCACTCCACTCCAGTCTGGGCGACAGAGACTCCAACTCAAAAAAAAAAAAAAAAAATAGGAAAAAATAAAAAATCAACAATATTTGAGTCTTTTCCTCATATACTGTTGAACAAACAAACAAACCTTTGACTGGATGTTTTATGTACACTATCCCATTGGATCCTGATAACAATTTGCCAGAATAGATATTATTCCTCGATATAGTCCCATAGACCATTAAAGTACCAACTTTCAAGAACTGAGACCATGTGCCAGGATGGAACTCACAGAGCACTGGATGTAGAGGTCAGGGACCAAAAAAGCTAAATCCAAAATTCTTTGTGCCCTTCCCCTCCATGACTGACTAGTCAAGTTTTTAACAATTTTTTAAGGCATAGATGCAATCCTAGGAAGGAGAGCCCAAAAACTCACTGCAGGGTGCAGTTTTTCAAAATGTCTACTAGTGCTTAGACAAACCTGAGACCTCATCTTTTTTTTTTTTTTTTTTTTTTGAGTTGGAGTCTCACTCCTGTCACCTAGGCTAGAGTGCAGTGGCACGCTCACAGCCACCACAGGCTCAACCTACTGGGCTTAGGCGATCCTTCTGCCTCAGTCTTCCAAGTAGCTGGAACTACAGATACATGCCACCACTCCTAGCTAATTTTTGTAATTTATTGTAGAAACGAGGTCTCACCAAGTTGCCCGGGCTGGTCTTGAACCCCAGGCTCAGGCAATCCTCTCACCTTGGCCTCCCAAAGTGCTGGGATTACAGACTGAGCCATCGCACATGGCCATCTTTATCTAGAGCTATCTAGACCTCAAGGCTGTCCTACCTGCTTAATAGACAGAACTACATTATCTTGTGTTAGTCTTCTAGACTGACTGCAGCCGGAATAAACCCCAACCACCATAACTACCACCAAACTTACTTCAATTTAGATGAGTGTTCTCAGCATCTGGTCCCTGCACAAACTGCATTGGAATTCTCTGAGGGTTGTGTTTAAAAATGCAATACCTGAGCCCCATTCCAAGTGAACAAAATAAAAATTTCTGGAAGAGGGTCTGAAAATTGACATTTTAGCAAGCTCCCTGGGTATTTCTTAGGCACACCAAAATCTGAGGTCATTATTCTAATCTCACATCGATAGAGCTCATTAAAACTGAGCCAGTTTCCAAGGTCTTAGACACAAGTGAAAAGTTACCAGAAATCTTTCTCTTTGTCATTTGTCTTCCAGCTATAATTCACCCATAGCTTGTTAACTCCGAACAGCACAGCTGGGTGCAGAAGCTCACAACTGTAATTTTAGCATTTTGGGAAGGGCGAGGTGAGAGAATTGCTTGAGGCCAGGAGTTTGAGACCAGCATGGACAACATAGCAAGTCCTTGACTCTACAAAAAATTTGAAAAAAATTAGCTGGGCATTGTGGCACATGCCTATAGTCCCAGCTACGCAGGAGGCTGAGACAGGAGAATCACTTGAGCCCAAGAGTTCAAGCCTACATTGAGTCGTGATCATGCCACTGCATGCCAGCTTGGGCAACAGAATGAGACTCCCAACTCAAAACAAAAAGAGGAAACCATGATTCTATTAGGTAGCCATTAGAGCATAAATAGCAAAGCCATTAGAGGAGGTGTTACGAGTGAGTTGAGAGAACTAAAATGACATTAATAGGTAGCTGAGTCCACACTCATATTTTATTCTTGCCTGTCACACACAGGCCTGGTATCTCTCCAGCCCAGAGATTTTCCTTGTTTACACTCAGAAACATTCTAGCAAGAGGAAATATTAACTCCAGGGGAATTCACATGGGCAAAAACCACCAGAAAGTCCTTTTTAGTGAGCCAGACATTATTATTGATGTAAATATTGTCATTCAAAACTTACAGACGAATATGGCAGCGTGATAATTCATTCAATTTCCTCAACATTGGTGATGCTGTTGTAGATAATTTTGCTTTCACATCACACCAAGGTCATAAAACTCCTTTGTATTCTACCTGCCTTTCCCTTCAACCCTAACGTATGTTGAAATCACAGCTGTACTGCATACCTGCCTAATGTACTAATCTCTCTGCACCTATTTTCTTGCTTATAAAATAGGATTATTATACCCACTTCGTAGAGTTATTACATGACTCAATGAAAAAGCATATCAAATGAATTTAACACTATGATGTCAGGATCTTCTGGCTCCAAGTGACAGGAGACAGTAGGACACTGTACTATGCATAAGACATTACTTCAATCAGTGACTGCTAAAATCGGGATTATAAATTACCTCCAACTTTCCATCTCTGCCCTGCTTGGAAAAGTAGGAAGGTTGAGAGCCTGGTTTAGGAATTATTCACAAAGGAAATGACATTTATTTGGGTGAATTATGCCTAATTTCATGAATAAAGTCCTCATGCACAAAACTGTCAGACTATACATTAAACGATTAAACATATAAACTTTGTTGTTTATCCTGC